CTGTTATTTCTTAGTTTGATTCGATTTTAATTTTATAAAAAAAAATATGAAAATTCAATCCAAATTAATTTATTTATTTTTAATCGATTTAGATATTGGATTCTCTAATAACCAAACCAAATTGATCAACAGTCTTAACTACTAGTTAGTGGTGATTATTCACAATCGTTTGATTATTTGTGGTCACATTATATAAATGTTTTAAGGTAGTATTCGATGAATTGATTATTAACGTATGATTTAGAACTAATTTATATCTTAAACTTATCAGAACTCATTAATCATGAAAGCTTCATGAAAATAACCAAGATAATTAATTCATTTAAATTATAAAGGAAATTATCACATCAAGGTATCCTAATCCTAGACAAGATGTACTCCATGCTATGAAATGTCACTTATCTTATGAGTTGGGTGGCAATGAGGTAGTTGAAGTGTCAATGTATTTCATTACTAATTTGGTTTGGGGGTGATTAGAGTTTACAAGGTTTAGGTGAAATATGTGCAAAAATATAGTAACATGAAGGCCCATTGGTGATACTTATGGGTAGAAATGAAAGAGTCACATGACTCAATTGCTTCAAATGAATTGAAATGAGGCATGTAGTGAGGTTGTATTAGCTGGACACAATGCATGAGTGATAGGGACCCTAAGATTCTAATTAAGGTGTGTTGGAATCTAATAAAATTCTCACACAATAAGACAAATAAATACATGAGAATTATTGAAAATTTTCAAAAATAAAATTGAATAAAGGAATTTTCTTAATGTTTAGATTTTGATCATTAATAATTTTTGGTATAAGATTTTGGATTATAAGAGGAAGTTCAATGCAAAGTCAAGCAAAACAATCAAATAGTGAGAAAATTTGTAACATAATCCAAGTTTAGCCTATAAATAGAGAGAAATTTGAGTTTTCGCCTTGAATATATTCTCTCTATTCTTTTTTATAAGAAAAATTTGATTTTTTAAATTCATTGAATAAATAATATATTTAAATTATATATAAGTTAGATACATCAATTATTAAATTAATTTAAAAAATTAAAATTTTCTTATAAAAGAGAATGGAGAGAGTAAGTCATAACTAATACAACCAAAATATATTCAATTATAGGTCAATCCTGGAGGGTTGATTATATTTATGTTATTATTATTACAAGATTACAAATGATCACATTAGTGAAATAAAAGAAGTAATCATCATGCTAATTAAGTATGAAATGATATGAATAGAGTTGAGTCCCATTTCATCTCAAACTCACAAGCAATATATAGACATGTGTCAACCCTACAACATGACACATCAACTTTTATACAATTAATATAATATATTAAATTTTCGTTCTTTTTAAGTCATTTAGAGTAAATTATAGAGATAAACACTTTAAACAAAAAGAAGAATATATCTCATACCCGTATAATACAATTATATCTTTATTCTATAAAATTTTAAAAAACGTTAAATTTACTATTTTTTAAAATAGTTTTTTTTTCACCCTTATGCAAAATATTCAAAAATTTATCCACTATTTATTTGTGGATAATTTTTTTCGTAAATGAAACTATGCACTTGTTGGATAAGTAATTTTGAATTAGGAAAATAAGTCTGTAAGGTTTTTTGGCGGAAAAGAAATGAATTTGTGAAAAACAATAAGAAATGTCGACCAGGTTGAAGGGTATCGATTAGAAGAGCTAGTCAACATAAGACATGAGATTCGGAGGCAGACATCGACAAGTATAGGGGTCGGCGAGTAAGAATTTATGATGGTGGAAACGGTTATCAACGCGCAAGCTAATAAGAACGTGGGGATATTCAAAGCAGTTTAGGATAGTTTCTCCACAAAATCTCAACGTGGACTAGTAATTGTCGACAGTTACATACTTATGATTTCTATTTAAGCAAATGTTTGTATTTGTGTCAAAGGTCGTATTTCTTCACATTTAGAGCATTACACTCAAAATACCCGTATCTAAGAGAGAAATGAGTTTCAAGCTTAACAATGTATGAATGCTTCCACATTTAAATTCATAGCAATTTTCAGCTTTCACTTTAAATTACAAGTCTTGTCTTTAACTTCTTTACTTTGAATTGTCTTTAATTTTTCCTCTTTTATCCAATATCAACCAGTTTCAACCCAAAAACACTCAAAACACTAAGTCTAGAATTATTGTAGTCGATTCTGCAAGTAATCTAGCGATTGTTTTACACATAAACAACACTAAAAAGACTAAAAAGAGAATGCCTATAAAATACCATGGAGCCTAAACTTTGGTAAAAAAAACTGTTAATAATTTTAATATTACTCGTGATTCAATCTTTGATAAAAAAAAATGGCTTAATTGTAATTTTAGTCCCTTTATTTAATTTTTTTTTTATTCTTCATTTTAAAAATTTTAAAAAATAGTCTCAACAAAATTTAAATCCAAAACACTTGACATTAGAAATAAAAAAGGAGTCCAACTACTAAATTATGAATGTTTCTTTATTAAATACTTGAAACAAATACATGTAATATATGAAAAAATTTACATTAAAGAAACTAAAAGATTGAATTTTATGGAGGAAAGAGATGGATGCATTTTTGTTTTGGCGATGATAATACAAGATAAGATTGTGTTCTGTTCTACTTATTTCTTTTCTCTTTTTTTTTTCCTTCTATTTTTTCTTTAAATTTCAGGATCTTCGTCTTTCTTGTAAATATTAGGATCTCTTGAATATTTTTTTGTTTGTTTCTGTAACCTTTAAGTCTGATAGGATTGGAGAAAATTTATGTACCATGTGGATGTTTTATTTTTAATTTCTAATACTTTTCCGTTAGAGATTTGGTGTTAATATTGAATCTTTTCTTGTGACAATAAGAGATATTGTAATTTTTAGAGATGAAAATCAACAAAAAATATAACATTTTTTTATGAGAAATTGTAATTATTAGAGAGTATACGTAATATTATGATGGTATCAATAATGCTAATATTATTTTGATATTTTTGGTTTGTGATTTTAATTTGATATGATTATTTAATTTTAAGAACAAATAGAATATATATAATAAATTTGATTAAGTAGGATATACATTTTATAATTAACTTAATATAGGTGGCAAAGACAGAAAAAGGTGTATAGGAAGCATATGTTATACATGGATGTGCCCGAAATGCATCAAAAGTTATACCTAATATTTTTTAATATATTACATATATTTATTTCAAGTGTTTAATAAAGAAATATTTACCGTTTAGTGGTTGGGTCGCTCTTTTTAAAATTAATGGTCTTAGATTCAAATTTTACATGAATAAAATATTATATATTAATTCAATTAAAATTGTGTTGGTGCAAATAAACACTAAATTGAATGAGAGACTAAATTCAAACACAAAAATTTACAAAAATTAAAACTTGTTACGAGCCCCAATTTAATTATCAAAATCTATTATAAATCTATAAAATATAAAGTATCTGAAAAAATCACCTATACCTTTCTTATTTCACATTAAAAAATTTCTAATTTCAGAATTAAAAATATTTAATTATACTATTGCTTTAATATTATGCATTTCGTATTAAATGTAACTTATGTGTCATTTTATTATGCTTATTGATTTTATTTTTAACATGTTAAAAGATAGTTCAGAAGCTCGAAAGACAAAATCTTAAACAAATATTTAAATGAATCATTAAATATTATTTTGCCTCAATAAACCGTTAACTCTCCTCGATACATTAAGCAGTGAAAGATCACATTGAAAATTGTAGTAAGAATTCAAATTAACCAATTTTTTGATGCAATAAACAAAATCCTCGCCCTTATTCATCAACCTTTAATTTCTCAACACACTTTCTGCACACTTCAAATCAATGGCTATTGCGCCTCTGTCGGTCCAGTATATGACAAATTCCACCAAGTTCCTGTCGAGTTTCTCTCGCAAGTGAAGCTACTGAACATTATATTTTCAAACTTAATTTTTTTTGTTAGAATGTTGATTAGCCTCACTTTTATTTAGTTCATGTTATCTGCATTTTCAACTTTTCTTTTCCAAAAACTTATATTTTGATAGAACTTAACATGAAGAATTCAATCCATACATATCAATAACGTACATGCTTGACATCTTCTATCAAATATGATAAGTCTAATGTTGTTAATGTTATCTAATTTCTACTTTTTTAGCATGTGGTGATAGAATGTGATATTTATTCTAATCTCAGGAAAAATAAACTATAATGTACTAGATTTATAAATTTAAAAATGAAGTTGATTTGTTTTTAAAGTGTTTTACAAATTCAAGATCACAATTGTTTCATGTGTAAGGTTTACAAGGAATGTAACAAAGCAGTAATACAATTTATTAACTACAAATAATCATATTTTTCTCGAAGGACTAAAATTAGATGTAGTATCATAAGAGACACTTTTTACTTTTAAGAAGCACATTGACCAAATTTTTAACAACATATATACTATTTGTTAAGTAGAAAACAACAGCAACAATGTCTACAGCATTGTTCATAAATTCTCATTTTCAAAATACTCTATTTTACAAGTTTATTTGCAACTTTAACTACAAATACTTAGTAGTGGAATGTCTAATATGATGTGCATCCTTATGTTAAAAAAATACATAGTCGTTAAAATCATATTGTTGCTTAAAGTAAATCAAACTTATCAATAGAAGCATAATAAGCAGCCTCATGATATATTCATTTGGAAAAAAAAGGAGCCGCAAGGGTTTGAATTACTAATAAGTCATTTGTATTTGTAAGGAAAAGGTTATATTTCAATCTCATAGAAGTATTGTACATGTACCAATGTAGTGGTGTCAAAAGCAAAAAATTATGTAAGTTAGGCAGGTCAAAACATGTCCATTTTTCATTCAGGGTGGCTGATTCACTATTGTATGTATTTCCATTCATAACTAACTATAGGGATTATAATTAGATACATAGTTATAATCCAACTTAATTTAGGTACATTGAGGTTTACATTTAGATACATAGTTATAATTCATTCCAAGCTTTACATTGAAGTTCCCAAAACTGCAACAGTCGGAAATTTCTATTAACCATGCCTTGCCCAAACCTTGTTCTAAACCTGTCATAAATTCAAACAATCATAAGGAAAAAGAGAGGGAAAGTGCAAACATCACCACATGAAAAATCAGTAAAAACTACAAAGATTTGTTGTTCAAGACCTGCACAATAACTCTAAAATTTGCTGTCCAAACCTGGGCCAAAATAGCCTCTGCACATTACTGGCCAAAAACTTGCATAGCAATCCAAAAAGTATGTTGTCCATACACAGAATTAGCAAGACAAAGACTGCACTAGAAAGCTACAAAAGCAGTATACTGAAAACAATTCGAAAACTCATCAAATGTTTCCCCCCTAAACCCACTGTTGTTGAATATAAAACAGGGAAGCCATGTATGAGAAAAAAGGTGGAACTTACCTGAAAATCTTCAAACTCAGAACATCTTCAACCGGCATACTCTAGATCTTTTCATCATCTCCATCGATCCTCATCTGTTGCTTCAACCATCTTCACCTTCTCGCGTATCTTCATCACAAATCTGCAATATTCAACATTGTATTCATCATCGCCTACATCTTCAACGTAACAGTTTCAATAATATCTCTTCAACTAATTCTGAAATATTGTCTGCACTTCAATCATCTCAACTGCAACTACAACAACGAACAACAAATACACAACGTTCGACATCATCAATATCCATTACTCGACAAAAACAACATCTCGCAACAAAACGCGACGAATCAAAATTCATGAATACAGAAGGAAAAAAAGAACGCAAAAGCAAAAGCAAACAAGTAGAAGCAGAAGATACGGAGAACGACTGCAAATTCGTACCTGAATTGAAGGAGCTTCGAACGTTTTCTCAGGCAGGTAATCGTCCTTCCTTTGTTTTCTATATCGTTTTACTGCTTATGTTTGAAACCAAGAGAGAGTGAGACAAGGACGAACGAAGCAAATAGAGCAGACGGAGGGAGTAGCTGGAAAAACATTAAGTTGTTTATGTTATCATTGAAAAAAATAGAATAGAGAAGAGAGTGAGAGAATCGAATAAAATAATGAATAATGAAGAGAGACAGAGAGAGAAAATCTTTAATTGGCATTTAATCTGGGTTATTGGGAATAAAAATTGGAATAATTTTTTACTTTTCCCTCTCTAGCCAGCCGCGGCGCCGCAACAACAACATTAGGGTTCGTTCAATTTTTTCTTATCCCTTTACATAAACCGGGTTTGGGCCTGTTTGGTTTGGTCCAACCCATTTCATAATTTTTGTTTTTTGTATTAATTTGAACTCAGAAATAACGAATGAAATAAATGGTACAGTGGTTAAGGTGTGATGGTTTGGAGGAAAGATTCTGGGTTTAAGACCCCTTGGGACATTTTCCTTTTTTCTGATTTCAGTTTCTTCTTTTTTTTGTAAACAAAAAAAAAACTTCTTGGACTCTAAAGCCCATTCGAAAAAACAGCACACCCATAAACTGCTTTACACCCTTACTCTAATGTCAAGTTTAATTTTATGTCTTTTATTGATTTTCTTAGCTCTTTTATTTTGGTTTAAGGTCAATTAAATAATCATGTAATCTTTTAGTTAGATAATTTTAGTAATTAGTTTCGACTTAGAATTATTGTAATGATTTTATAATTTTAAGTTAGTTAGTAATTTTAGATTTTTAATTTAGTTTAGATTTAAATTAGAAATTTTAGAATTTTTAATTTAATTTTAGAATTAATTTGGTAATTTGGAATTTTAAGTTAGTTTAGAATGATTTTAATAACTTTATTTAGTTTAAATTTAATTTTATTAATCTTTAGTTTCAATTCAAAAAATATAGTTTCGAATTATTTAAGTTTCTTAATTAATTTAGGGATTTTGTGAAAAAATTAGTTAATTAACATTTTTTGTTTAGTCAACATTCTTTTAAAATGTTTAAATTTCTTCATGATAAACAAAATTTCAAAGAAAATAATAGAATATAATTTTATTTTTCTTTTTAAATTCTCTCACAAAATACTAAAAATATTATTTTGCCAATTAATTTTACTTTAATAGTTTGTTTTAGTTTAATTAACTGTTTATTTTTAATTCGATTGGGTTGTATTGATTGCTTATTTTAGACTTTTAGTTGTATTATCGATTCAATCCATCCTCATTTGTAAATTTGTACTCCCTATTCCTGAAAGCTCTGTAATAGCGTAGAATTTTAATTTCCTCAATTTACTGTTTTTTCTTTATATTCTATAGTAATTAGGCGTGTATGTTAAGATTCAAAAATTAAATGATAGATAACTCTAACTTCAAATACAAATTAACTTGAATCAAACAAACTTTTCACACACGCATTTATAGGGTTAACCACACTTGTTGCCTTCGAAAAAATACAGTTATGTCCCTCAAATATGGGGCGCTTTAGCAAGGACCCTTCGATAAAAAAGATCGTAGTCCCTCGATGTCCCTCGATGTTGCCTTCGGAAAACGGTCTAGTCCCTTACAAAAATTGCTAAAACGTCTCACAAGTTACCTTCTATGACTGTACGATTGACCCGCGCCTGTCCGTTCACATCCAATAATAGGGCTTTTTGTCAATCAATGGTAAGGTAGCAATATCTAAAGGAGGAGGAAAAGAACTAGGAATTTTTGAGTAGGTAGGACGTGCATAGTTGCTTGCTCACAAAATTTTCAAAAACAACATCTTTCAAACACACCAACACTTTCAAACATGACATATTTTCAAAAATACGACATTTTGTATACATTCTTATAGAGACGAGAACCATTACAAAGTTTTCCTAAACGAAGACACTTTTCAAAAATACTTTCAAAAACAATCACAAACACATTTCAAACAAAGCATTTTTAAAGTGAGCTAGCAACTAAGAGCCTGTAGATAACTACGGATGAAAAGGGTGCTAACACCTTCCCTTTTCATAACCTACCCCCCAAATTCATGAAAATATATCGAAAGGTCTTTCCTGTTCTTTTCACCCTTTCCTTTATTGGATAAAAGAAAAGTTGGTGGCGACTCTTGCTATCCACAACAATTGTGATCAAACGCAAAACACTCAAGTCAGTTCTCCCACCGTATAATAGTATAATAGAATGAATATATTTTGTGATGCTTTTTACATTGATGTAATGAAAATGCACATTGCTTAGATTTGTGTTGAAAGAAATAAAAGGAAATGGGAAAATAACATGAGTAAGATATTGTACAGTACATATAGCATACTTATGTTAGAAGTATAATTCTTGTTCTATTGAAATGCATGTGTATGGTGTATATCGAATAGCTTATTGTATAGGTTATAAGTTGTATTCAACAGAGTCGAATACAAAAGATATTGTAGTATGTCGAAATTATGTTTTGGGATTTAGTGTGTTTTGTTTAATTGGGTCTGGGTATTGTTTGCCTATATAAAGGGCTGCTGAGTTTGTAATCAAAAGTGTAATCAATAACAGATTTTTACAATTCAATTAGAATCACAATAAACTTTCAATCTCTCTCTTCTTCTTCTTCCTCTTCCACAATCATCTTTCTTGAAAACCCTTTATTCCAACAAATATATATAATAGAGCCATGTTGCGATTCAGAGAGAATCTAATGGAAAACGGAACAACAACATCAACACAATTTACAGTGAATCTATCGGTTTTCAAAGGTGAGAACTATCAGTGGTGGATTGCAGATGAAGGTTATATTAAGATTTCAAGATTTTGTTAAAATCTTGAATGATGGAGTATCAGAACTGGAAACAAATGCAATGGAAGCCTAGAAAATTATGCACAAAGATCAAAGGAAGAAAGACGGTAAAGCCTTGTTCTTGATTCATCTGTGTGTGGATTCTGATGTATTTGAGAATATAATTGAAGAAGAAACGGAAAAAGGAGTCTGAGACAACTTAAAGAACTTGTATGGTGGATATGAGAAATTGAAGAAGGTGAAGTTACAGACACTAAGGAAGAAATACGAGATGCTTCAGGTGAAAGAAGGTGAATGATTTTCTGCATATTTCTCAAGAATTATGGCGCTAACAAACCTGATGAAGGCATGTGGTGAATAGGTTACGGATCTACAGAAGATCGAGAAGGTGTTAAGATCTTTGACTGCAGATTTTGACTACATTGTTGTGATAATTGAAGAGGCCAAGACTCTATCTGAGATGAAGTTAGAAGAAGTTCAAGCTTCACTAGAGGCTCATTAGATGAGGTTGAAGCAGAGAAACTCAAAAAGAGAGAAGGTGGCTGAACAGGCATTGCAATCAAGATTTAACAAGAAATTTGGAAAAGAGAAGTCGAAGCAGCGAAAGAATCTTGCTAGTGATGAGAAGTCAAGCAAGAATACTGATTCGATCAAAAAAGGTGTGGGCAACAAGTATTCTAGGAAGAAAGTTGACACGAAAGAGGTGTAATGTTACAATTGTCAAGGTTTTAGTCACTATGCTCGAGACTATCGAAGAAAGAAAGCAACAAAGGTGAAATATAGTGATGAAGTTCAATATACACGAGCTGGAGATAGTGATTTTGATGATGTGTTGTTGTCATACCCCAAATTTTCCCTACTAGTTCCTAATATTTTTATTTCTATTTCTAAAAAATTATTATTCATATATTCATGGGGTTTAAAGCTTATAAAGATTTTTTTTATCTTATGAGAAAATTGACGGGCCTTTCTAAATCAGAAAAGTCCATTGCATTTTTTGAGTAAGGTTTTGTTTTGCTTCCATCCCAATTCTACATCATTAAGAATTTTTGTGGGGCCTTTCTAAATCAGAAAGGCCCATGTAAAAATTCTGGTCCATCTCAAATATTGAAAAAGGGGAGGGTGTATGTTCAAATCAGGGAGGCCCATATAGGGTCACATTTTTGTTAAAATCCAATATTTAAAAACAATTAGGCCCGCTTCAGTTTTCTGTTATTTTGAAATATATTTATATTTTACATAATTATTACTTATTATTATTAAAAAATTTAATTAAAAAAAATTATATCAGTTTTTATTATTTGAAAAAAAAACAATGACTAAAGATTAAAGCCTTTGGTCGCGCAGCCCAAGCCCAAATCAAAGAAACATTTACAAACATTTACAGTCTAATGCCAAGCAGGCCCAATCCAATCTAGAGCATAAAAATGCTTGGCTTCAATAAAGGAAAAAAGTCACTATGCTGATTAAACCAAAAGAAACGCATAATTTTGAAACTGAATCCAATGTCAGACAAATCAAATGTTTACAAAATCAAATCAAATTGCCCAATTTTTAATACATAATCAAGTCATATCAATTACAATCTTTAATCTTTCCTAAAATTATCAATCTAACAACAATCACTAAAATATAACCCTAATCAACTAATTTGTAACGACAATCGGAAGAAAATTTCCTAATTTGTAGTAATTCCTGACCTATATAAACCTTATGAACTAAGACTAAAGGAACAACAAATTTGGAGAAGAAAACTTGTAAACCGAGAATAAATTGAAGATCGAAAGAAGAGGAGACAGATAGCAGTTTGCCTTTGGAGTCTTCAGTTCGCGTTAGATCTAGGGTTTCAATTTCTGAAACCTAAGATCTATTCTCCTTCAAGCTGCCGCACCATCGTTGTCTTCAATCCATCGCCTTCGTCATCATCTTCGCTGTCACCCTCACATGTAAAACAAACGAAGGAGATTAACGAAGAACTCACTCAGTAGAACAAAGACAAATCACAATCGAAGGCAACGAGGTAAGCTACTTAGCTTTATGGTTGTTATTATTATGTTTTGGAGGAAATAGGATTTGATTTGGGGTAAGAGAAGGGCAATGTCGCTGCTGGAACTAGGGTTTGAGGGGGGACGGTGGTGTTGTGTTGTTGGAGAGGACGAGAGAAAATGAGGGAAGAGAGAGAGAGAGAGAGACAAAAAATGAATTGAAAAATGAAAATGAAAATATAACTCTATTGAGATCCCATGCATGCGATTCCAAAACCTTGCCATATGCCTCCACTGTACGTCCGCATGATCATCATCAAACGCACTGAGATTGCATGCCCATGGTAACCCAATGCACCCGCCCATACCGAATCTCAACTCACCCAGAATTATTCTGGGCTCAATATACATTTTTCTGG